GTTTAGGGTTCAGGGTTTAGGGATGTTTAGGGTTCAGGGTTTAGTGATGTTTAGGGTTCAGGGTTTAGTGATGTTTAGGGTTCAGGGTTTAGGGTTTAGTGTTCAGGGTTTAGGGTTCAGGGCTGGGTCTCCCAACCTTGACCCTGAGGATCCATGTAGGTATAATTCATGGACTTAGGGCCCCGGGGTTAGGCTACCCAAAACAGTTAAGGGCTTGAGGTTAAGCGTGTAAGGTTGGGGATGGAGGCTTCTGGCTTGAAGATTTGGGTGAAGGGTACGGAGATTCGGTTGAGGGTTTTCAGGTTTTGGGTGTTAGCTTAGAGGATTATGACGGGGCATCCCCGCCCAGAGCGTCTTAGCAGCGTGGAAAAAAGTTGTTGAATCCCTTTCGGACATCCTATTGCGTTTTGCTTTTGAAGCCCCTTCAAGCACTAGACACGCCTCTATGAAAGCTTGTCAAACACGATGCATTCCAAGAAGGACCCCGTAAGCTCTGAACTTTTAAGCGTGAGCCTCAAACCTTACCGCCAAGCCCGAAACCACCAAACTCTAGTACACCCTAAGCTGAAAACCGACGTAACCACTAGCCCTCAACCTGAACCTTAAAGTTCAAACCCTAGAGCCCCAAGCACCAAACTCCACACCCAACCCTGAGCCCTAAACCCTAAACCTTGAACCAATGGCCATATATTACTGTCACTGTTACTATAATGCTTGTTCTTACTACCATTTTTACTGTTTCTGTTATTACTATTGCTATTAGTCCTATTACTTATACTCTTACTAGTACCATTCTTACTATTTTGGGGGTCTACGGATTTCTTCACGCCCCTGCACCCTGGGAAGGTAGCGCAGCCCTCGCTTCAGGGCCTCGCTGGGGCGCTTTGGGAGGGATTTGATTGGGTCGCCTGGCCTTTTTTAGGGGGAGTGTGGAATAAGTAGAATGGGGCTTGGATTTAAGGGTTAAGTGATTAGGGTTTAGGGGCTTTACTAGTCGGAAATAGGAGCGCTACATGGAAGATGGAATGGATGCTAAGATTGGGACTGCCAAAGAGACTTTGGGAGTTTCGGATTCCCGCGCCTAAGGCTCACTGCGCAGACTGTGGTTTGCTGGATCAGCCTTAAAAACACTGGCTGTCCCCTAAAGGGGTAATTGTTGCTATACTACGGCTTCCTACACCCTGAACCCTAAACCCTAAGGGGCTGAGATGCTAAGCCTCAGCTTCTCCATTGTCCTCGCTTTGCAGCCCTGCCAAAGAAGCAGCTTGACCTCTGAGCTGTGTGCAGAGGAGGGGCAAGTTTACGACCTTGGCTCTACCTGGACCCTGGTTTTCAGGTGGGGTTCCCAAAAGTAGTGGTACCTTCTGGGGGGTCTTAATAATAAGGAGTATGATATATTTGGGTCCATATTGAAAACCTCTTGTTTAGGGAAACTACCATTTATAGGGTATATCCGAAAGGAAGGTAAGACATCCATAGTGCGTGAAAGCTTCAAGGACAACCTCTCTAATAATGCATCCATGTGAGCCATAGTCTAAACTCCTAAAAAAGGGGTTGTATACTGTTGATGGAGGAAATCTTGCACCACCTGAAGTCCCTAAAGTCCTAGGAATTACAGTACTTTAGGGCCCCAAGGTGGTGTGAGATTTCATCCATCAACAGTATGGGAGTAGTATGGGGGATATTAAAGGGGATACTAGCGTTTAGACTATACACCCTATAATCCCCTACATAACCCCATAATATGTAGCAGTTTCCATTTCATTTTCCATTTTCTTTTCCATTTGATTCTCCATGATTAAGGGGGATACTAGGAGTTTAGACTATAGCTCATTTGCTAATTAGTAATTGTCCTTTGTGCCGCGATGTTTTGT